CCGGTGTCGTGTCGTTTGTGGAGAGAGGTGGTGTGAAGAAGGGTTTCCTTTCCTTCCTTCTTTTTTGCAACCCTATATAAAGGGTCTTGTCCTCAATAAAGGTTTAGCTGTGTTTGATAGGTTCTCCTTCTCTTCCTTTTCGTCGTCTGTCAATACCTCAGTCTCGGGTTTTTCACTAAAATGTTTAATATACACCAGCCCACTTGCACCCTTACGTTCTGCTCATTGTAATTGATTTCATTTTGAAAGTGACGGTACCGCTTTGTATACTCCATCTTACAATTTGTGCGCATGGCTATTAAAGGTACAGGAGCAGGAGTATAGCTCTTCACAGTGATCAGTTTGCACAAGTTCTCGTGCAAGAAAAGCGCAGGGTGAAGTCACACTCTCGCGTCGATTCCTTTCGCTGCGCTGCACACAACTTGTGAGATGAATTGTATGCTTTTATCATCTTGGGTCGTTGCTATTATTAGTTAGCAATATTATTAGTATGTTAGATCTACAGAAGTGTATGCCGATGTGTAAACAGAGAATAGAAATGGAGCTTTTGCGGTAATTCCCACTACTTATTCTCTGACAATCACACAAAAAGAAACTAAAGAAATATTGACATCTGCAAGTATCCTGATTCGCTGATTAGTTTCACCGTACTTGTGACTCCTGACTCTGCTGCTGCTGCCAAGCATGTCGCGCCCTCGCTGGTAACGGAAGGTCAAATAAAGATGGGTCAGGAACGTAGATGGCCCCTTGCCGAAAGCCTCCAAGGTCTGCCTCTAGCGGCAGGCTCTCATCGTCCGACATAGGTACTGAAATCAGGAGCATATGAGTAAACAGGACTTCAATATGCATACTACAAGCCTACTATGCTCCCTTGACGATGACACTAACACATTAAATCTCAGAATATTTACTATCATACAGCGATTTTGTCTTCATTCAATCATTTATTGGTCCCCGAATGTTATGCTAGATTTATTAGTGCTGATTATTGCTGTGTTTGAACCAGGTATTGTACATAGGGTGTTATGCAGTTTTTTTAATTATTTCTGTTATATTTGTGTGTGGATTGTGCGACATGATTTTATTGTATATATATTGCTACGACAAAAAAAAAGGTATCGTGTCAATAAATAAAAGTTGAAAACTTGTTAAATTTGTTGCAGGCTTAAAAAATGTGTTGTCTCCTACATATGCGGAGGTGTGCGTTGGTTCATCCAGATAACACTAACCGATCAGTAGTTAATTACTGGCTAACAAAATATACGTGTCAATAGTACTTTCATGGCCAGAATAATACGGAGCACGGAAAGCCTTTACGCAGTATAAAACTGCTCCATATTATGCTGGCCGCGAGTGCACAATTGCAGAAAAAAATAGAGGTGGTACCATTACACAAGCACAACGGCTTATAAACCACGAAGGAAGCTATTCGAGCTCGACACAAGCACAAAGACGCGTCGATTGTTTCGACGTATTTGTCCTACTTTATACACCGTGTCACACAATATATTCCACGTTGTAGACGCCGTAGGACTCAGACTTTACACGAAGTAGCGTTGAGCGAGCGTCCATTCAACGGGGATATTTCCAAGGTCCGTGATATACGACTGTGAAACGCTTCGTGATAAGAAGTATCACTCGTCACGCAATGTAAGTAATGGTCTCATGGGTGGAACTTTTCCCACGGAAACTCTAGAACTGCAAAATAATCAAGAAAAAGGAGAATGATTAAGATAGATTACAGCCTAGGAGCGTTTTGTGGGTTATCTTAAACGTGATTACTGGTTGCAACAAAACACTCTTGAAGCAACGTTATCTCAAAAACAAACGAAAGTACTACGCTTTGTTCTATTCCGGCGAAAATTGAGCCCGGCACACTCTTCGCAACATATTACGAGTGGTTTACTTAACTTTAACTACTAATGGTTCCAGAACGTAACTTTGAAACGACTGGCCTTTTTCTGCGTCAAAACACGCTGCGCCCGCGGTAGTGCACACGTCGTTGGATAGCAGAGACCGCGGAGCAGTCGACACGACGCTTGCTCCGTCGATCCGTCCGTCCGCCCGGTCGTGTGGTGACGTTCGTACCACGTGGGTCGTCCCAGACTATGACGACGCGGAACCAATGTTGCTCGGCGCAGGCACAGTTTTGTTTTTGATTCGTGATCAGGACTAAAGAAGGATTACGAGAAGTATATTTTCTTTTTTTGGGAAACAAGCGACGTCGAGCCGTTTATACCTTAATGTATAATCACCCATAACCCCAAACTTTTTGGAATTTAGTGGAGTTGTCGTTTAAATAGGAACATGAAGTATTTTTACAGCTTATACACGAACTCATGTTTACAAACGAAGTGGAGCGCCTCGGCACGCCACTGGGACCACGAATGCGCCATTGGGGGCGGGCAGGAAGCGCGCCGTCCCAGCTCTACAAATAATTGGAATGCGATGTTGTTGACGTCGCTGTGAGTTACTGTGATTTTTTTTGCGTTAAAATTGTTGATTCCAAGTTTTCCTGCCAATGCCTGCCCCAGTTATTCGCTTAAGTGAAATTAACGAGGTTCGTTACGCCGCAAAATATTTGCGTGAATATTGTAACGTGCTGCAATTTATTCCGCGTAGACGTTCGCGGAATGGATGCTAAGGCCTGATTCGCATAAGAACCTGATCGCAATGTTCAGTCGCCACGTCGCTCGGGCTACAGAAACGCGTGGTCGGCAGCTACGATGTTCAATGTCGATACTGAAAATCGCAACCAAAATCGAACCATGCGAATCAAGCATAACCTGTCGATGACGACCGCCGAAAGCAATGATGAACGCCCTCTTGCATATACCGTTTACGCCAAACCTACTTGCCGCAAAAAAAAAAAAAAAAAAAAAAAATTAGGCTTAAAGGTTTCTTGAGGTCCGCACCTACTTCTTATTGCCCTTACCACGGGAACTCGTGGTTTAAGGTTCGTTGTCGTTTGAAAGAACAGAACACACTTTGAGCAAGCCGACGAGTTTGAAAGAGCAGACGAAAGTTTAAACGGTCAGGCGGGCGTTTGAAAATGAAGACTCAATGAAACGTAGAGTTTGAGTAGTCTGCACAACTTGACGGCTTTCCTGGGTTCACGTTGGAACAAAAAAATAAATCTGACGACCACAAGTCTCCGTGAAATCAAGTAGATGTGCTTCCCCGCACAGGCAGTCGTGGTGCGATGGTGTTTGATTTATTCCCTTTCACGGCACCTATGCACGTTTTCAGACGAACTTTGAGGCAAAAAAAGACGTGCAAACTGATCTTGACACATTTCGCGGCTCTTCTGGTGCAGCCCCAGCCGCGGTATATTGACGAGAAGGCATATTTTCTTGTTTGTTTCGAAGTAAAACAGGAATTCCCGTCCGGCATAGGGACTTCCGCCCACACCCCAAGCCGTAAGTGCGCCCGAAGCGGTATTACCGCGGCAGGACGTAACAAAGCTTAAGTTGGTGTATACAGGGTGTGCGCAGGTAAACAAAAACAAATTATGGCCGAATTTTTGGGGGAGGGGGGGGGAGGGATGGATTTCTTCCGCTTGGCTCCTGTTTTCACTTGTCTTTGAGGACCCTCAGTGACAAGTGCATGGATTAGACTTCTCACCGATGAGGGCTAATTGCGGCACCTTATGTGATTTACTTATACGGGATCGACATCTCTCCCTGCTCCCTTGGATGAAAAGAAGGAACATTTGTTCCCCGAGGAATCGAGAAATCTGCCGGAGGTATCGTGGGTGCATATTCAGGAAAACCTATTTTACTAGCCTGGTTCATACACCTGAGAGAGACTTAAAGCATACGAATTACTAAACGCGTTTGAATACTTCGTAAAACCAATGCATCGGCGATGGGCACATAACTCCTCCGAACACCAAAGATACGCCCCGCGCTTCGCCCCAGGGGTCGCCCAGCCGGCCATTGGTTTTAGCAATCTTCCGAAAGGTTTAATTAAGCTGTCTTTAGCGCGACGCGAATCTTTGTAATGCATAATTTGTTTTTGTGTTTTGACATCCTTGCTTTGAATATCAAAAGTTTCTTTTTTTGCATTCCCACGCACATTGCATATGTGCGTCCCTTGATGGCTCATCGTTGTACGTAGATCGTTGGTTCAGACGCCATGGTGCCGGCGCCGCATTCTCATGCCTGTCGCGTTGCGCCATCTGTTTGCAGCTCTTCGAATCAGAAAAATGCCGTCAGCAGAGGCAGTCGTCCTGCGATCACCCAGGCTCGTTCGCGTCGGTGGCGTCCCTCGTATCTAGATAATCGAAATAACTTCCGTTGCAACATCTTGTTCGTGCCGGTATGCATCGGCAACCTAAAAGCACGACACTTGGGGAATTTAGAGAGCATAGCTTTTACCCAATCACTTGCTAGTGAAACAAGAGTCGTCATGCACCCACACAAATACAAGGTAAACGTACGGGAACCGAAAGTGTTTCTCTCTTCCTATCAAGGTAGCCGGAAGTGACATGCAGTCCCTGCATAGTGTGTTTTTATATAATTGCCCGCTGTAGAAAGAGAGGAGCCCAATACATGTTCAACATAAATGGGCGGATATGTTTTGAAATAGTGTAAAAATTAAAACTGCTTCGGTCAATATGTGGGCAATCCAAAGTAAAGTTGCTACTGTAAAAAGTAATGCAATTCACTTTTGGATCATATTTTTCGTAATGATGCACTTGATTTACTTTAAGAACCACACCGCTTAAGTGGTGTAGATTGGAGGTCCAGTTTCTGTGTTAAGCATTCCTGTTTTCTTAATTGCTTGCTATATATTTTTTTTGCTGCCTTGTTTATGTTTCCTAGATATGTTTCGCCAAGGTTAATGGGCGTAAAATAATGTACAAGTAACGCACCAAGTCTTCCGCTCTAAGATCAGTTCTATGATTTGTGCGTTTGTTTAATGCTGCTACTAAGGTACAGTAGTATATAGAAAATTTGAGACGAAGAGCTTGGAATTTACCTAATATGTCTCTAAAGTTTCAGTTAAGCAGCACTCACCTTGGTGAAATCTACATGATGCAGTCTGCTGCTTACATCATGGGAGCTGTTCTTTCTGCGATTTTCTGTAACATTCAGGTGATTGCAACCTTATGTATTTCTTTTTTTCATCCAAGAAGACATTCAATATGAAGTGACTTCAAGCTGAGATAAAGCGCAACTAGCGGCATCTATGCGACTGGTGGGCAGCTGATGAAATTCGCCCGGCCCATGAATCGATCTCCACGCCTCTCTAAGGGTAGCGAAGCGCTTTGCCAACTGAGCTAAGCGGGTTGTAGCCGTCAGTAGATTAAACGGATGTTAACAATCAATATCAGTATTAAACGCCAAAATTATTAGCAACTATGAACCGTCGTTTGCTGTAATTATCGCTAAACTAGTGTGTGGAGCACTCCAATCTTCTTAAAGAAGTCCCCATAATGATGTCCTGTGCCATTTTGGGGACTTCTGCGGAGGCCCGAATGCCCTGTGCGATTGTTTCAGCACCATGCTCCCCGGTCGTCCAGAGGGCGCGAGTTTCTCTTCATATCAGTAGGAAGTCAATTATGCTTGAAGACATCTTCTCCGCTTTGCAGATTTTTGATGAATCATTATCATTTAAGTATGTTCCAAAGGAACGCATAATGCACCACGTGATATTTTTTATTCGAGGTAGAATTATTGCCAAAAATCTATAAAAGACACACTAATACGGTTTGTGCGTATGTTATACGGCCAGGAGGACATTATGTGGGTGGCTAATCTTTGGAATAAGTCGACTAATTCATTAAAATATGTTAATTATTTTTATTAGGAATATGGTTTCATTTAGAAACTCAGTGAACGTTATCAAAGACCACTAAATCAACTCTTTTTAGAGCGACTTGAAGCTTGTGGTAAACTCGTGGGCGCACCAAATTTACCGCTCGTGCAGCAGGCGCAAAAGTAGCAGTGTCGGAACGCGATGATGAACTAATCATCCGCGTTCCGCCACTGATAGCTTTGCGCCGGCTTCACGAGTGGTAAGTTTGGAACGCCCCCGAGTTTCCCTCGAGCTTCAAGTCGTTCTAAAGAAAGTTGATTTAGTGGTTTTCGATGACGCTCTCAAAGTTTTTACTAGGCACCATATTTCTATTTTCACTAATTAAAAAGGTAATTAACGAATTCGAATTAATTATCCTACTTATCGCAAGATTAGCCACCCACATGGTGTCCCCGTCGCCTTATAACTCACCTGCACAAACCATAATAGTGCGCCTTTTACGGATATCTTGTAATAAATCTGTTCCGAATAAAGATATCGCCCGGTATAAAAAAAAAAGCAAAATATGCGGACGCATGTGCGAAAGAAGCAATTATCGATAACATGTTCATCTTCTTTCCTTAAGTAGCCATATAAAGTTTCCTCGAATGATAACAACGTTTTGGGGTAAATTTTCATGGACCGTTTTCCCCTTTCAGCTACGCTAGCTTCAACGAAGTTGCGGCTGTTACGAATTGGTGCAACTAACCATACCTGTATATTTATGAATTTCCTAGAGGCTGCCGCAGAGCGTTGAGAGAAGACGAAAACGTTCTACGAAAACTGCTTGATAAAATCTTTCCCGTGTGCCTAATTTACAGCTGGACGCGCAAAAGCCTATTGCCATTTCTGAAGGTAAAAACAAAAGTAGCGAAAGACGAGACCCTGGTGGCGTGACGGATAGGGAAATTGACTTGCGCGGTGATTTACTATTTATCCGTGTCCAGTGTTTGTATCGCGTAACTGGTAACGGCGTTACAGGTAACGCGTGAATTTTTCCTCGGTAACGTAGTAACGTGCTTGTTACGTCTTCAAATGAGTGACGGGTAACGTTCGTAGGCTAGTTATTTTGAGTAACGGGTAACTTAGCTATGTGACTCGTCACCTCTTCCCAATAAATAAAACAAAATGCACTTAATTTTTTTGTTTGTCTATCTAAGGTGTTTTTTTCTTTGGCATTCAGGCGGATCCATAAGAAAGATGAATAAATTATGTTATGTTTCTGCATCCACGGTGAGCGACTGTAAGGTCAAACACACTTGGCAAGCATTGTAAAATTCGAATTCTAAGCGTACATACCATTTCACAAAGAGGTTTCGTTTTAGGAAATTTATGCTGGTGAAATATTACTAACGAAAGGAAAAAGGTCGCGTCAATTTGCTATGTCCAATACCGGAACATCGTCCTCTGCACACTGATTTGCGAGCTTGTTGTTACGAGGTGGTCATCGTTAATATATTTGTTTGAAATTGCTGCTTATCGCGATTGTCTAGTTCGTCGCCAGCCCCTTCTCTGGCGTTCTCTTCGTTTCAGTATTCAGCAAACAACGCGGGAGCCAGATCACAAACCAGTATGCAGACGAAAAACTTGCTGGGACTTAGCTAGGATTTGCACAGTCACCGTTTCCGGTTTATTCCTAATATTTCACCGCCTATGACTTCAGCACTCAGAAATGGATAGATAGCAATAACCGTTACCGAGTTTGCTTGCCCATTTTAAGTTATGTAGGTTTCGAAAACAAATTTTACGAGGCATGCTAAACGTGCTGGTCGTTACGGCAGCTCCCTGTATGTAATGCTTCATGAAATGTGGCACTTATGCGTACCTGTAACTTGAAAACAAAAGAAACGTTCGTTACTTTTTATCGTTAACGGTAACACGTTCCTTTTAGGTTAAGTTGAACTGGCTTGGTTACGAGTTGGGTTTATTTCAAACAAGGAGAAACGTTTTTCCTTACCCTTTTATCTGTGACACCTACAGAACTTTTGGTGTCTTGCCATTCGATGACCGCGTTTTTTAACAGGCGCTGATTGGCTATTTCCGCGCTTTGCGGTAAAGTGTACGCACGGGATTTGATCATAAATATTTTTTATGATCAAATCTGCGGGACATGGCGGTACGCACAATGCTTCAAAACGTCCTGTCACTTTGTCTTGTAATAGAATAGTATTGTTTAATTTCTATGAAAAAATAACAATTAATGTTTTCCCCCGAGTCCGCTAAAGTACCTAAATTGTTACAAGATCTCATAATCAAATCTACGAAATGCTCTGAGTGTTCTTAAATGTGCAAATGTATGACTGAAATATATATTTTTTTATATATATGTTTCGTTTAGAGTTACCTTAATTAAAAAGATAATATACTTCCGTTGCGATCATTTTTAATCCTCGAAGTAATTTGGGGGCCACGAGAGCCACTAGAAAACAAACAAAATTTGTTGATTAGTTTGATAAATAACTACAAAAAAAGTTTACTTAGTGTTTAGAATTTAAATGTGTTCGATATTAAAGTTTGAAAAAAAGAATTTGCAGCCGTTGATACGGGACAAAAATTTCCACCTTGCACACAGCTTAATATCAAAATTAAACCGCCAAACCACGCCAGTGACGTCCATCCCTCCGCTTTGCGCAGGTTCTGAAATCCACGTGTCAATTCTGTAGGAATCGTGAGCAGTGCGAATCATACATAGAGCGGAGGAAACGACGTCAAAAACGCGCCTCGAAGGTTTTTTTTTTTGTTTTGTTTTGGTTTGAGGCCGTGTTCAAGGATCTCGTCCCGTTGCACCTATTAGGAGATTTGGTTTAATTTCTATTTAACGTGACTGCTATACTAAGAAAAGTCCCCCTTTCAATGTTCTGACTGCGTGTTATGCGGCGCCACACTCATAATGTTAATATCAGTCAAATTTTCACTTAATTATTGAATCAAATAAGCGATTTTTGCTCTTTCTTAGTGGGCCCCACTTTAGCCCCCGGACTAGAAAATGCCTAATGCAAGTATCCTGTCTCTTTTACTTCTGTTCCCTCTAAACACAAACACCATTTATACAAAATTATGATAATTAAACAGCTTTCAGTCATCCTTATTCTGCCATAATGGTTTGTTTGCGTTTTTCGGAAACATGGCAAGTTGATATTCAAATTTTGATATAACAAGCTGATCGCCCATCAGAAAAAAAAAAAACACCAGAAAACAACATGAAAATATTTATATTGTTGCGTCTTTTTGCCGATTTCTGCAGCACGTTTTAGACTGTAAAGTCTCTTTTGGTGCATGCCGTACGTTCCTTCAACTTTTATTCAATGAGAGATTGACATGCGAGTCGTCCTTCTTGAGAATGTCCAAACTGCAGAGGGATAATTTATGCTCGTGTTTGTTACAGAAGGAACGAACTTTTCTAGTGCTGGGCCACGTCATGGCGGTTGTCGCATACTTAATACTTGGGCCAGTTCCGTTCATCCCTATGGCACCGTAAGTTAGTGTTGCTCTACAACTACACGCATTTTATTCAGCAAATAGCAAAGCAGTACAGCAGATTTTGTTAGTTCACGATAAACGAGAAAGGGGTTGGTTAAACGACAAAACGTTACATTTGGATTTCTATAGTTCAATTCAGAATCAACCAGGATTTGACTTAAAAACATAGCTATTTTCAGCAAATAACAGCTGAAATTTCAGTAAAGCACTACTACATTTTCAGTGATGTTTTTATGTCGGGTTCAGGAGGCACTCAACACAGTGTTAATTAACATCGATGTGACATAAAATATCATAATCCTAACCTTAATAGATCATATTGGCCTTATCAAGCTCAATAAAGTCTAATATCATAGTGCTGAAACAGTATTTTTTTTATAACGGAGAACGAAGGCTTAAATAAGGACGAGATGTTGAGTGACAAAGAACGATTAGAGCACTAAGAATATAGATTCCAGTGAATCGTTTATTCTTACTTATTCAGCAATCTGTTTCAATACCTATGACGTAGTGTAATTGTTTTACACATGATCTAGTGCCAAATTTTTATTGCAGAAATGTGCTTCCAGGGATTAGCTTTCCAAGCCCATTCATACCCTGTTAAGTATATCCAAATATGGGGCCAAATGAACAGTTATTTTTTTTAATCTTTGTCACAACAAGTGTCTTACGCTTGTAAATATTGCCGCGCGCAGAACCGAGAAAGCAACGCTCGGTCACGGACCTGTAGAAGGTTCTCGTTTATTTTTACTGCTGACATAACTTCTACCCTTTATCCCTGCTCTTGTTTTTCTAGAATGTGCCTGTTCATTCTCGCCCCGAGCGCGCTACGCTCAAACCTTCTCCGCCGAATCTTCGAGATAGTGACTCACTCTTGATAAGAGGCCGCCCGCGACCTTGTCGAGTCAGTTTCGCCCCAGCGTTCGACTCTGCTCTTTCGCCGACTTCGACGCCCGCGACGCTCTGCTGTTATCTTGTTTCCTCTTTTATTTCTTGGGCACAAGTTTGCCCCATTAAACGTTTCAGTTTCCTCAGTTATTCTTTGTTTCCTCTTTCGTTCCTTCGTGACAATATGCAAAGGCTGGGTATTTGTGCCTTCACATAAAACCTTTTTTATAGGCCTCCTGCGTTGCCCAGGAGGCGCTGCGAAAAATGACTTGTTAGGACTTGTTTTGGGTAGTACAAACTTGAGCGACTCAAACTGCCACACATATAGAAGCGTCCCTGCTCTGGCGCGGAAGACGATAACGAGGAAAACAGAAAAAAAAAAACGAAAAACGCTAACGCCGTCGAAGCACAGGCCAAAGCTAGGACGATAAGAGCGTGAACCAAAAAACGCCCTATCACGCGTGCCAAAAAGAAAAACATAAAGGGAAAGAAAAAACAAAAACGTCGGGACGCCAGATGTTCTAACGTCACCACTGTGAGATACGAGACGCGTACCCTAGTGGTGGTGGCATGAATCCAGAACTTTCGATTGTCTTGCCGCGTTGAATGTAGCCGATTTCGGACGTCCAAATGTGTTTTTCCGTACTTCTGTACTACACAAAAGGAAAAAAATGACGGCGAACGCGCCATAATAGAGGGAGTGCCAACCAGGTGAGCTTGTATTACCCAAAACGAGGGCGCCACAGTTTGTTCAAAGCTTCAGCGCAGGAGGCCCATTAAGAGCTACGCAAATGTTCTGAAAACAAATGTGCTCACTATTTTCTGAACGAATACCTTAAAGGGATGGTGAACCAAAATATGATTTTGGAAAACAGTGCAGGAGCTGAAGAAGGCACGCTACAATCCCTACAACACTAGTCGTAAAGCGATATCTCGAATGGACGGCCGTGTTTTTGGAAAGAAAGGTTGAGATTGAACGAGGCATACGACGCGTGTGACGTCGAGATATCTCGTTTCCTCCTCTCTTCGCTTCGCCTCCTCAAGGCGACGAGGCCGGGAAGACGCGACGCCATTTCCCTCTCCTTCTTGGAGAAACAAGACATAGCCATATCTGTCGAGCACGCCTCCTTTTTTTGAAAATTACGGTTATCTATTCGAGATATCGCGGTATGAGTGATGTTTTGGTGTTTGACGCATACCGTTGCACGCTTTTGCCGCCGTTTTTTGTGGATTCCAGATTTCGGCTCAGCATCCCTTTAACGCTAAACGTTTAAAATACTTGTTTAAAAAAAAGTCATAGAACCTTATTGTAGAATTATCCAAAATAATGATGTGACGATTGAAAACAAATTACAGGATAAATTGACTACAAAAGGAGGTTCCAAACAGCGCTGAATTTGATTGCTACAGAATCAACTTATATGCGCCGAGAAGCCTGGATACGTTTGAAGACGACACCGCGTGGGGACGTCAGATCAACGAGGCCTGGTTGTAATGATTAGTGGGGAGACCTAAGGCTAGCAGTCTTTGTATCCTCTGCACTTCTAAACACGTTAGAACTCGGAACCCCGGCACCCGGCCGTTGGGCTCTCGCATTCAAACTGGTTCGACGAAGTGGAGTGCTCGGCGTTCTGACGCCCCCGAGCGCTCTCCTCTGTTCCTCTCTCTCTCTCTTTCTGTTCTTTGGTGCATTGTGTCTGAACGAAAAAAAAAAAGAAAGCCGTTTACAACTCCCTGTAACGACGAATTAGAACGCAGCTCTTGAGGAGGAGAAGGGAAGGGTACAGAGGGGAAGGTATATTCTTCCTCCCTCCTCCTCACGTCCTAATCTTGTCTGCTACTGCTCCCTCCGAGCGGCGTCGCCGTCGCCTCCCGAGGGTCACGTGACTTCACGGCGTCACGTGACCCCTACGAGGTCACGGGACGATGACGATGCTGTCATCAGTAACATCACCAGTGACGTCAATGTTGACGTCGTCATCACAAGTCACGTCATCAGTAACGTCATCATTGACGCTGACGATGACGATACAAAGGCCGATGACGTAATCAGTGATGCCACTAATGACGTCATCAGTGGCGATGACGATGCAGACGCCGATGACATCACTGATGACGTCATCAGTGACGGCCCCGATGCCGATGACGTCATCAGTGATGTCACTGATGACGTCCTCAGTGGCGATGACGATGCGAACTCCGATGACATCACTGATGACGCCATCAGTGACGGTCCCGATGCCGATGGCGTCATTAGTGACAGCACTGATGACGTCATCAGTGGCGATGACGATGTGGATGCCGACGCCGTCATCAGTGACGTCATCAGTCACGATGACCATGGCGATGCCGATGACGTCACTGATGACGTCATAAGTGACGTCACGCGTCCCATAATGCACCGCGCGGTTACGCCGACGGCGACGGCGACGCCGGTGCCTAAGAGCTGCACTCTAAAAAAATGGAAAAGATCAAAACAGGAAAATACGAACCTGCAAGCGGCGCCGTCACCAGGACAAAGCAACCACGAGAAAAATAATCAAGAGTATCCGTGTAGGAAGTTCGAACTGCATCTGTCATCTTAGAGAAGAAAACACAGCATAGACCAGATTTTGTAACCAAATCATCGCCAGTCTACCGAGTGACTATGGCAAGTAAAGATGCATACGGCAGCTGGTCCGGCCAATTTAATGGGAGGCAGCGGTTGCTCGGCAGTTCCGGTTTCCGGAAGCGTTGATTTCAGTGCAAATAAATTGATGTGGTCAAGAAAGACTAGGGGGCTACTCATATCGACGGAAAGAACAGCTTTGAGGGACGTTCCCGCACGAAGTGTCTGGATGATGTCGGCAACAAGGTCAGTCACGAGTCTGCTAGCGTTTTGCCAGTGGAGAGTGAAACAACTGCCGACAAAATGTATTTTCTTCGTAATATGGTGCTTCTGCATTGCTAGAAGATTGACGACCTTCCGATGGTTCTCAAGACGTTGAAGACTGAAGCGAGTCACTCTGCGGACATCCATCAGGTCACAGTGGTTCGCTGCCTAGACTGTGTTCCTTGAGACACCCGCCGGCCAAGCCAGCCGTGCCGTCGAGAAGCTGCGAAACTGCCCTAAGAAAGCCGATGCCTATGATGGACTGTGTCGGTGCTGAGGTGGGTCGCGATGTGGAAAGTGCAACTGAGCACACTTCTTTTCCAATGAACGTAGAAATGAATCCCGACTAGGTACAAAGCCGTGCTAATCTTGTGAACGATGGGAAATTTGCTATTATCGCAAAAAGAAACAGAGCCCCACTCCGCGAGGGCAAGAAAGCTACCGACAAGCTTTGCTCCGCACCACGACCACCAGTGCTGCGTGCACTTAACGCATCTCCACTGAACCCCGGCTCAACGGTATCGGCTATTTCTAAAGTTTTATCCTCTGCTCTGACTCTCTGTAGCTTCTTTGTCCTGTGTTTTTTTTATGTTATGTGTGGTTTTTGTAGATGTCTTCTTGGGACCATTCCTACAAGTCTTTAAGACATTGACGGTCCCGAAGTGATACCTTGAGGCCATTTAGGCGCCTGTAATAAACTTATTATCATATTCAATATTATTATTATTGTTATTATTATTTCATTCGTATTTGAAAATCCGACCAGTATACAAACAAAATACGTGAACTCAAATATTTTCATGGTAACGAACCTGTATGCGTACTTTCAAACAAAACCACGAGAAGTAAATCACTACTTCCTTCGAAAAAAAAAAAGAAAACACGACGTTGTGTTATTTACTAAGTTTTCATGCTTTACTATGAAAATCGACTTTTTCTACAGAAGTTTGTGTACATTTCTTGTGTTGAAATTGCACAGCTCAAATTCCACAAACGGCATCTAGTGTTAAATTCTGAAAGATGCTTAGGAACCTCCAAATCAGTATCGTCATTCGGGACATCTCGCCTATACTAGGTGAAACGGTCAATGATTCAGTGTTTTGTCCGACCAGTTTACCGTAAACCTCAATCAAAGGTAATTTTGTAGGCAAGCCCTAAAACACATGCGACACTTTTCTTTTACTATTTTTTGGGGAGCCGTTTCGGGGGCAAAGTGAAGACAGTCAACATTTTTATTCTATATACATTTAAAAAAAAGAAAAAAAAACACTGGGATCTGGAAATAGGAAATCCTTTCTCAAAGCCCACTCACAGGGTGTGATGCTAGTGTCTTACAGGCATCCCTGGTAAACCCAATCAAGTGGAGCGTTAATTCGATAGGCGCCATCTCTTATACTGTTGGTAGCTAAACTCTCAATTTCTCTCGCTGTTCCTTTCTTCTTTCTTCCTTTTCCGTTTTATGGCGTGTGCTATTTTCTGAGGACATTATAAAACAATTTGTACCACATTACCAAAAAAAAACAATTCTTGGGGGTACCTATGCGACAGACCGAGTGCGACTGGAATGTTTGTTTTATTTTAGGATGGCATTTAGCAGCACTGCCCGCTCAGCTATGTCACTAGAGAAGGCGCCTTGCTGTCGAAAATAATTTAAGACAGAAGACAGCCGAAAGGCATGCATATGTCTACCCCACAAATAGCGTGATTACATATACAAATGACAGGACTCGGACATGATATTTAGAAATCCTCAACAATCAAACAATATATTGTACGTACCACATACTGCAGCGCTATTCGAAAAATATTGATTTGAAAAATACCTCAAATAACACAGCACGACAGCGTCGACAACAGCCACATCCCGATGATCCAACCCAATCCAAAAGAATCTCGTTTTGGGGCGCGTTTTGGGGAGATGTTCTCGTTTTCACAACATTTAGGCAAAAAAAAGAAAGAGAACGCGACTGGTTCATTCCGAACTCCAACCCGAGCAGTTGTTTTCGGCGATGGCTGAGGAGGGTGCGCGGATTGTCTCCGGGACTGGGAGAATAATTTTCCTCGTTTGCAAACTCGCGTCCAAGGTCGTTTGACGTTCTTCCCTTCCTTTGTTTCCCGTGAATCTTGAGCAGACACGCTTCAATGGCATGCAGTTACCGGCCTTATTTCTCACATTGGCAGATACGGCAAGTGTATGCAGCATGCATACGAGAGACAAGCAGGAAACTTTCAAGAAAGGCCGTAAAACTGGGAATACAGAACCACAAATCATAGGCGGAGAACCGCACTGAGCATATTTCAGTTGTGTCTAGGACCCCCCTCCTTCTTCCTATGGTTTTTTTCTGTCGTTCGCGAAGCCTCGGGTAATTCCACAAATACGGACTTACACCAGTTCACTTTCGCCCTCGCGTTTCGTTCAGAGTGCCTTTTTTTTAATGTCTTACAGGGCTATTCGAACAACGTACTACAATATTTCGCGTTTGATTCTTCAGCAACATTTAGAGATCAAGAGTTTTCTTCAGCACGATTGCAGAAGAGAATTCGCCCAATAGTCGTTGTTAGCCTTAAAAAGCAGGGCGTGCTGATCTTTACGCTTCTTGGATGGTTATTCTTTGGCGTTGTAAAAATCTAGTACTGCAGTCCCATTGACTTCGGAGCGAAAATGAGATACTCGGAACTTGACAAACCTTGTATTTAAAATGGCAGTGACAATAGTAATATTTCAACTACGTCTCTATCCTCTGATGAACTTTGTAATGTTCACAAGATTGATAACGTATACACAAATATCTATATCTTTGTTAAAAAGTTTTGCTGTTTCTTTTTTAGTTGAATAATTATTTTCTTTTATTTCTCTCCAAGGAATCTATGGATGGCAGGTTCAGCGCAAGTGTGCCTTGGAATACCAACGGCCACTTACTTCATCTGTTCCATTTGCCACCTGCAGACTACTGCGTTGTATGTTGACACGATTTCTACCATCTTTTCAGAAGTGCAGTTGAAAAAAGAGCAGGGCGGGGTTTATCTTTATTTCCACAGCTGATGTTCTTAACGCCGTAATTTCTGCCTTCATTTGATGATCACCTTTTTGTGCGAACTGTCTGCTTTTAGTTGAGTCAGGTTGAGGTTGTTGATAGTTAACGTGGGTATATTCGAGATGTTCGTGTCCTAACTAATGATTTCTGTCTCGGAGGTGTTTATGGGAACACTGCTGCGAGGGAGCAAAATTTTAGTAATGTAATATGTCATACGGAAGAAAATATGACAATAATAAAAATATAAACGCGCACACACATGCGTCCCTAACCTTAGATGACATTGTGTAGCACCCAGACATTCATTTATCTAAGTTCGTTCTTCAGCTTGCCCGAAGAGAACCGCGAGCTGTGTCCTGCACCAATGGTCCCGCGGGCTTTGTAGTCTAAAAGGCTGTTTATACTCCGACGTAGAGCGCAGTGAGCGCAGCTTAGCGCAGAACGCGTGCCTTTCATTGGCCGGCGACCAGGAACGCGATTTTCGCGACCAATCAGTATCAGTGCGCGCTACGCTACGCCGCGCCCGTGAACGTTACGTTGAAGTATAAACGTACCTTAACGCCCTCTACCTCTCGAAAATGGAAAGCGTAAGTAGGTCTGCTTCTTGAGCGGGGGTTCCGATGACGTCAGAAGGCCGAGATTCGTTAGGCTCCAATTGGAAAGATAGTGGATAGACCTCAAGGCAGCCAGCATTGAGGACTATACACTATTCGTCCATAATCGCAGCTCGGTGTTCTGACGTCAGTGCAACACCTGAGCAAAAAGCAGACAAACTTGTTCGCCGTATACTTTGTATCTGCTTAAGTTCAGGCGTAGCTGACGCTCTGCCGTTATGCACAAATCAAGCAGCGTCAAAAGCGCAAGTCACTAGGTATTTTCTATGATTGGTTCAGCCATTATAGAACAAAAATAGGAACAAGCTAAACACCTTACTGCTACATGTTTGACGCTGTCCGAGCGAACCCATAAGCTGATAACGTCGTCTGCGGCTGAAGTTAAGGTAGAACAAACTATAGTGGAGATCGCGTCACTATTGCTTCATGACCTAAATGAATTCACTAATTAAAGAACTCAAATAATCTAACAGCATAGATTAATGAGCTTATTAAACTGATGTAGGGTAAACATCAAAGAACTTCTGGCAATTTATAAGAATCAAAATCATACTTTTCGTTTAATTGTTTAAACTCCCATACTTTGACCATGTCTTTAGTTTATTTCGTCCGTACCAGACAATGAGGACTGCTTAATGCCGTTTATAATTTACGAAACACTATCAGCGTCGATAAAGATATAACCCAATGATAAATAACAAATCGTTAGTTCGATAACGTGGATTTGTATTACTTTGGGAATTAGAAACAAACAAAAAAAAACTTCTGTGAAACGTTTATTAAAAATTAAAGCACTGATAGATTTCAATGCGAAATACATCTACATTTCTGAGGTAAGTGAAATGTTAGTTGTAGCAGCCAAACTCATTATTCCAACACTGTCGAGGATTATAAAGTAACATCGATGGCAAGGTCGAGTTATAAACATTTAGCTTAGCCTTCTTAACGGCAGTTTTGAAAGCAACTGCAGCGTCGGTGTATTTCTGCCAGCAGACTAGACAAAGCGTAGCTTTAACTGCTTTAAAAGTGGTTTTTTTTTTGTTAAAAATCTTACAGCACTCTGCTGAATCATGATAAACACGAAGTGGCAAATATGGGTTAAATAGAAATGTAGTTCTTCGATAAGGGCCGAATCTTTTCTTTAAAAAGGGTCCGTATCATTTCCGACGGACGACTCTAAAATTTCTTCAAAATAAAAATCTAGAAAATCACCTAACTCAGAAATAATAGCACCATAATTGGATTTGGTATAATCATGAATAACTTATTTCTTTAATATTAGTACTACTCAAAAATAGATAGTGAAAAATGCATAAATGAATGATCACTAAAACCTGGATCTAGGTCAGATGGCCGACAAGGTTGGGAACAGAAATCAGATGAGGTAGACGATATTCGATGTGGTGACGCCGTGGTAGTTGGCGCGGCTAGTAGCTCACACAAAAGACACTAACACAGCACGCCACAATAATTCGCGGAATCTACTGAAAAAGGATTACTGTAAGAACAACCCGAGCTCCAAACAATGTCGGGAAGTCAAAGTAAGCCACTAAATGTAAAGGTGTATTTGAAAAACGTTGTAAAAATTGTTCAACCACAGCCTCCTATATACTAACAAAGCCTGGCAGATCGCCACGAGAAGCGGCTGCTCAAATGGAAAAGGTGGAGCGGCAGAACACAGATCAGAGGAGAGCCACGTGTCTGGCACCCCGCTACGGCGAGACGCCGAAACACACTTCTCCCGAACGAACAAATGGGTTTCGGGTCCTCGCCGCCGCAGGAGCTGTGTGCTGATGTCCAGGATCCCTGAAAAAATGGCTCTTTGATGTTCTGTGCTACCAGACCCTCGCGCTCCAAATCTACAACCAGGCACTCTAGCTATGGCTCCGTCTTCGAACTGCCAGGTTTTTTTAGTGTAGAGGAGGCTATGGTTTAACACATTATGAAGTCCCTTAAAAAGGTCAGGAGAACATACAGGCGGCGGTAACAGCGTCCTAGATCAAGCCTTTGATGCTGAATGATGATGCAGACACGAATTATTTCGAAAGTGATATATATATTTACAATAAAAGACGAGATACAATCACTAGCACCTATTAAAAACGCCACCGCCGTTACGTAGTTTTCCGTCATTTTGGAATTTAGTAAAGAGTTTCTGTCGAGAAATAACTCGGGACCTTTTATTTTCGCCGAAAACCTCGTCTCAACTAACAAAACAATGTTTACATCGCTAGTATCGATAATGAAACATAACTCGTCAAGTTTTACATTTATGAAACTCCTTATGTTATGTTGAATTCCACTCTTAGATCCGGAGCGCTTTCCAAAATCCGCGGGCAAGCAATATTCCGGTCCTTAGGACCTGCTCCGAATCAACGAGCGGAAGATGGACTCGTCTGTTTGGAGCGACCCCTCACCCCCGCTCACCCGTCGGCCGTTCAAAATGGCCGCTGCTCGAACTTGACAAGCCCACCAACGCCTCAACGACTAAACTTTCCGGCTACCAGTGACAACTGTCAAGCCATAGCTGCACAAATTACATACAGCACAGGCAGGGGAAAAATTATACGTACCACGGAGCCCACGTCACAAATAACGAGGAAGACGTCCGCATTCAACACAGTCACATACTACCTTTCGGCCGCCTTGAAGCAGCGGGGCACGCACAGCGATTGCCATCGCTGGAGTTCAGATGGCTGGTATGAATTTAATAAACACCGGAGTAAAAAACCATCACTGGCACGGCGTTGCCTAATCAATTTTTGCTATTATTGCACAAGAAAACGCCGGCGGCATGCAGTGTAAAAAAAAGTAAACAATCAGTGGCGGCAAAATCAATAGGCCTAACCTTGCGTCCGCCTCCATCCGATGTTCTGACGTTTTTTTTCTTGTTCTTCCCCTCACGATCGCAGATGTCACAGCTTCCGATTCGTCACGCTCCTATCTTGGCTTTTCATCCCTTTTCTACGCGAGGTAGAAGCGTTCGTGTCGTCACAATCCCGCGAAAACAGTCGACGCATCTAAGCAGACACAGCTCGGCCGACTCGAATCCGTCAATCCGTCGACGGCGCAGCCGGTATGCGGTCGGCCCATCGACTTCGTCGCGCATGCACCACCGCAGAGGGAGAGGAAATGACGTAGCGCGCTCTGACAAATACCGTGTCGATCTCTGAAATCCCGCGGATAAAGTTCGGCGGAGTTGGAGGCGCTCCGCGGAGCGGGAGCAGCCAGAGATCTACGAGAGGAAGATGACCAAGTCGAGCCAGTTCTGCGAGCGGAATATGGGGGCTCAAAATGGAGCGCTTTTTTGAGCGCTCGAGATCTGCGAGCGGAATTCACCATTAGCGAAAAAAACAGATACGTTAGACAGATAAAAAAATACCGTGAAAAAAAACAAAACGTCACTGACTGCTAATATGGAGCATGTCGCCTCCGGTTGAGATGCCAAAAGCGCCATAGGTCGAGACGTATGCAGGCGAAAAGATTCCGTGACGTCGCCAAGCGCATGTTCGTGAATATAGTAATTCTGGTTAATAACGAATTTGTTATAATTAAACATAAATGGTGATTCGTAATATTTACCAAATTCAATTATGGTCTTCCGCGTCAAACGTGTTGTAGCAGAGAAATCCTCGCTAACACCGATGTTAGTTAGCTTTAGATTATACCTTAGTTGTAGTACTTGTCCTTTTGTTTTAAAAGAGAAAAAACTAGCTATGACTGATCTGCATTTGTTGGCTACGAACTGTCCTAGACCGTGTGCGCACTGCATTTCAAATGACCAACATGCTTATAGCAGAATTCGCTCCTTTATAGACGCAATGCGACAATACCGCTTTATTGTTTACTTCAACTTGTGCCTACGATTCCTCAACACTATCAGGAATCCCATAAGAAAAAAGTTACTTCGACTTGACATATCTTCTATATTGTCGAGCCAACAGAGAATCATGGCATTTGCTCTCCTCTGTTTCCCGTTGTCTCAATTTCTTGCATTCAGTTTACTCAGATTGCAGTAATTTCAAATAATTGCTCTCTACGATATCCACAAGACTTGCATTGGTACGGTTGGTAACAATCCATATGCCCCAAACGCAGCCGGGGTTCTTCTATTGGGAGCGCTGTGCACAGCGATATATTCAGATTTCCTTATAGTCTTTATTGATTAGATCGAATTGCTTTCATTCTATATCATTCGGCACCTGGAGTCACAGCAAGGTGTGCATCATCTTTGAGTGCAGAATTACACTGTAAGAAATGCCTGCGGGTCTACTTACACGAAAAACGCTCAAAGAGCCAATCTCTGTGATCTACGAAATTAGCCCTGCCACAGATGAGGCGGAACATCCGTTAGACCTAAAAATGAAGTCCGCGCTGTGGTATTACGCAATGCAAAGCGTCATGCTTGCCTTGTGGAATGCAGCAGTGCAGACTTAATTTCAAGGTCTAAACAGATGTTAGGCCTCATCATTCGCTTTCGTAAGTCGCAGAGATTGGTTCTGAGTGTTTTGCGAGTAAGTAGACGCGCAGGTAGTTTTTGGAGTGTGATGTTTCTCAGTACATGTCATCGCAACACGAATGGAAAAATAATGCGGTTGTCTGGTGTATGTTTGTTGTTTATATTTGCCTACTAGCTTTGTTTTTGGAGTAAATAAATCATATTATTAGAGTATTACAAGAACAAACTAATCACAGGACTGCCTGGTGGCATCATCTAAGCGTAAAATATTTCACACTCATTGTAATATGATGCAACTGCTTTTATGATTCTGTCTCATGAACAAATTCACTGCCAATTCGTTTGGAGAAAGCATTACTCATTATGACAATCTTCGTTTCTTTGATATGTTCACCGTTGATGCTAAGAAACGCAATTTTACCCGAGAAGAAACCGAAACCTAAAACTAGTTTTTGGAGAACAACTTAAGGCTCAGTCCAATATCGTAGCTCCGCCGCCCTTGGTTTTGATTGATTTCCATGGCACGTAGTCACCGATTATAAAATAATAATATTTCTACTTAGTTTACTTAGTGCCAATTTGAGAAGTTTTCCCTTGTGTGTTTTCTGGCCGTAGATGCTCCTTTTAAAATACAGTAATGAAGTGTTAAAGAATGAACCAATTTTTCACTTTACAGAAGCCGTGGAGGTCCGGAAAATATTCAGGCAACTAGCTTTGTGGTCAGCGTGACCCATGGATTTGGAGTGTTTTGGTAAACAGTTTTCACAAACAAAATTTAAACACTATAACAAAAATGTGACAATATAAATTTATATTTGCCTTCTTTTTGTAGTGCTTGCATTACTGCACCAATAGCGGGGTACGTGATGGACGTTTACGGATACCGAACTGCAAGCATGATCTTATTTGCGGTATTTGTGGCCTGGGTAAGATGTCTACCAACGACACACGCAATGGACGTCACTTATACAACAAAAACGAGTGAATGCGAAACAGATTTCACAAAATCATTAAACTTTTGATACTTAAAAATGTATAGTGATTTCACAGACAATTACAGTTTTTTTTAATTGATATCATCCTTGAGATGCCAGTAGAAACCTCTGTATATTTCGTAAAACCCGGAATAAAGGTTACTAACAACATTAAGCCTGACCGCCTTCAATTAAAATCGTGTTTTTTTTTAAGTTTAACTTTGTTTCTATGATTTTGCGTCTCACCTGTTTTGTCTGCATTTTGTTTTCACTTACAATGTCTTAATGAGCCGCATTTGTCCCCGCATATTTGGTTTTAAAAATATCTACTAATTTCCGCACTAGGTACCACATGGCTCCAGTATGGGACAATTATACAAAAAAGAGGGTCTGTAAAACGGGCAGACAAAGTGGAGGGAACAAACGGGGGCAACACCTGCAGAAAAACACCGGAAAAGTGAATACTGTTAAAGTATAGCGAAAACTGATTCATTTTTAAAGCGTCTTTGAAATAAATAAGCTGTGACAATTTTTTTAAAGGAAGAAAGTAACATTGTAAAATCATTAATTCACTAATCAATCAATCAATCAATCAATCAATCAATCAGCGTTTATTTTAGCTTCAAACACAAACTAAGGGTGCTACAAAAAAGCAGTTGCGCCCTCTGCTTGACGGCCATCGCCACCGTTACGAGTCAGCAGCGTAAACGAGGCAAAAATAATACATGTATAAAAAATTAAATGCACAGACAAAACGAGAAGTACAGACAAATTATAGAACAGCGTTCCTAAGGATAGAAGAAAACAAATCACTCAAGTGATCACATAGGGGCGTATTAATAAATTTAGGCAAGATATATCGTAACATTCTAAAGCCATAGTTCGTTCTACACCTAGGTAAAACAAACGTGTCTTTTTTCCTCGTTGAATAAGGCGTATTGTGGAGCACAGTAGAAACAATACGTGAAACAAAATTCTCGTTTTTTGCTGTTATATTTTTGTAAAAACACGCTAATCTATATTCAAATAAATTATATACAGGCAGAATTTCAAACTGCAAGTAAACCTGCCCCGATGTGTAAATTATATGGAGCGTTTGTAATAGCACGTAACATTTTATTTTGCAACATCAGAAGCTTCTGAATAATGGATGTTGTAATATTACCCGAGAACACGAAACAGTAGCTTAAATAAGAATAAAAAAACGTAATACAAAGTAAGTTTAGATTTTTTTGTTTTTTTTTTCGGGTAGAACATTCTTATTACATGCGGTAATTCCAACAATCTTGGAAAGGACAAGAAAAACCTCGTTTATGTGGGCGTCCCATGTCATAGTTGCAGTAAAACTTACACCGAGAGATCTAAACCTTTCTACGAAATCAATCTCGGTATCACTCATAACTAATGTTTTTTTATTTCTTTATTTATGCACTTAGTATAGGCGTATGGCGTTTGACTTAAAGATTTTGCAACCACTTTTGTATCTTTCAGACACCAGTCACATTGGTTCTTTGGCTTCGACCAGGTTGGTTGAGAGGAAAAAAAACGTTCCGTCCCACCTTGGAAGAAAACAACAAGTTATGAACACTTTCGTGAGACGCACCGAAATGTATTAATGAATGAATTATACTACTTTCATAAACTTCTGTGATTTAGTGTTTACGCAGTGATTTGGATAATGCGTCGCCGCTGAGTCAAGCTCAAAGTAGTAATGCAAGTGTTTAAATGTTTTTGTTTACAATAAAACAGTTAAGGCTTTGAGGTAGAACAATTATAGCTTTGTGCGGGTAATATGGACAGCTTCGTTCCTATCAAGAAATGTTTCATACCGACAGTGGCTCATAATAGCGACACACAAATGTGCGTATTTATTCGTTGGACACACAAATGTGTCTATGTTGCGGGTTTGTAAAATTAACGACATTTTATTAACGAGAAATTTGTGTTTTTAGCTACAAATAAAAAAATAAACTTTGTAATCGCGTGCCGTATGAACCTGTCTATAGACCGTCTCATCCTTCGATGCACTAACAGCCAGTGCTACGGCCGCCGTGTCCAAACACGACCCTGTTAAAAACCACATGGTAAATTTGCTCCATCCTACGTATCAATGCGCCAATATTCTTCATCCGAAGGCGACGTTTTCGCTTGGTTATCGAGCTCCCTCGGCGGCTCCCTCTGCTTGCTCGGCTTTTGCTCTACTTACACCTGTGTTCACAGTTCATCGTTACAGCACGAATGGTTAGGACAGTGAGGTTTGACATTTTCTCAAATGTCAAACCTAGGACACGCGTCTCCTAGGTTTGACATTTGAGAAAAGGTACATGGAATCGACGTAATGGAAAGGAGGAACGTACCCTAGCAACACTTACGTGGCGGCTCTGCCTACTTTGACGCCGCTACGTCATCGCAAACTTGAAACCTGCCACCGTTTGAGCGACGTCCGGAGCCAACCCCCGACGAGCGGAGGGAGCTACGCATCCCCCGAGGCGTCCCTACGTGCGGGATACGGGGTAAGATTTACTACGACGCGGGGGGCAGTTTTTGCGTTTAGTTAAGCAACGGCAACCAATCCTGTGCGTCGCTGGCCGTCGCATTTGTTCTAGTACTGAAAAACAATAAAACCTGTTGGGCGCTGTTAAAACAAACCGCTCTTTTGTGTCGTTTTGCAATACATTTAAGAGTTAATTGGAGAGAAAGTTGTTTCAATATTACAATGAATGCGAAATTCGGGATTCGCACCTTGTTTAAAGCAACATGTCGGAGCAAGCCAGGATCGCGGGGTTGATGGCTGCACATAAACAGCTCCCGTTAGCAGCGTTTCACGGTCCCGGCACGTAACGAAGGCGCGGAAGCAAACAGACGACCTGGAGAAAGACGCCTGCTTGCTTTGTTGAACCCAAGAAACATTCGCTTGATATGACTTACCCTGAAACAGTGAATTAACAGGATTCGTAAGAGGAAGGGTCAACAAACAGTGTCTCGAAAAACAGCTACGTGTTCGGAGACGTGCCCTTCTTTTCCTTCCCTGTGTGGGTTTCTCTACGGAGAGGTCCTCTACTAATAATCCCGCCCGATCGGTATGCGCTCCGCCCGTCACCCAGGGAACGACACACTGCAACGAGAAGACAGCGAATGGGTTTACTGTACCTCCCGGTTGCCCTTCATCGAGAGCCGGTAGTCCGGGCCAGCCGACCCTTGTTGTCGCCCGTCGATTAGAGCTCACAGTCGCAATGCGTGTCCAGGCCTGCGGATCCCTTTTTCCACGCCAGCGCTGCGTAGGCTGGCTGTCCCGGGCTATCAATGCCCAAGTCTCGCTGCGGTACCACCCCGGGATCGTCGTAGCCCAGGTCATATGGCCAGGGCTCGCCGTTTCCACCAGTCTTGCTGCAGACCTCGCTGGTGGACCGCTCCGGGGTTCGTGATAGGCCGCGCCAGGCAGCTTGGCTTCGACGTTCCTTGTCCAGCTACCAGCCCCGCTCCGCTCGCACTGTCCCGCGCCCGCTCGTGACTTCTCCGCCGACCGCCTGTCAAACGCCCTCTGCCTCGTCCTCCACTCTCGGCTCCCACACTCTCGCCCCCTCACGGCACGGACCTCGGGGGACTTCATGGGCCTCAGGGAGCCACTGGGCTTCATGGGCGGCCGCTGTTGCTGTTGCCGGAGTGGCCACGTTGCGGCGTCCGAAAGCGGCGTAGGTGGTGGTGGCTAGCGAAGCCGTCAGATAATGCCGACCTGTCCGTCGCTCGCTTTCCCACTCACCGCGATGCAGCAGGGGGCTTGCGTTAAGCTGCTCCGGCCGACGCAGACGGACTTGCCCCGTTCCGCTTAGAGGTCACAGCGGGCTTAGAACTGCCCGCCTGAACCGTTCGTCAGGCTGAAAAACTGTCAGCCACCCTGAGCACTTGGGAAAACGAATGGGCCCGTCTTCCCACCCGGTGGGCTTCGTGGTTTACGCCGTCTACGGCCGTCTTTCCAAGAAGCTATTCTGCGCAGAACAAAGTGCTAAAACAACACACAACGAACAAGTACTCTACCGCAGACTGTGGCAGTGGCCGTAGCCTCCACCGCCAAATAGCTTCCCGACGGGTCAGTGTACCATGCGGCTAACTCAGCAAGTCTGCATTCCAAAGCTCGCTCCTGGGTCGCCAAGAACAGGGGATTTTTTGTGTCCTACCGCAACCTCATTTTATAAGTCTTCCCCATCGCGGCAACGGTAGTATCCTTTCAAGTCAGCGATGTAAACCGGGTAAGCCTCCTCGTTTGTATCTCGCCAAATAAGCCTAGAAGTAAGACACGACGCCCGCGTCTTTATACCTCAGGTGCCCTTCTCACCTCGAAGCAAGCGATGCGGCAAAACCACTAGCTGCGTTGCTCAACGCGTGAGTTGTCTTCAGAACAGGTAATGATGGTGTAAACCTAGTCCATCTTTAGCGCAAGCGAAGGGATCCAAAGCCCGTGGTGGGACGGCCATATTCCATACCCGCGTTCCGCAACGGCTAGATATACCATGTGGTACTCGATGTAAGCGTCAGCGTCCCGTTGCGTCCACGTGCATACAAGCTCTAGGGACTGATCTGTCCTCGGAGGAGGCGGTAGCTCAGCGAGCAAGCCCGCTTAAACCGTTCACGCCTCAAGGCAAGCTGGACAAAAACAAGCCCCCCAAATGTCTACCGCCTCATCCCCGGCCAGGTCGTGACGCGACTTGCTGTCACTGCCACGACCGGCCAGAGTGAAGCCAAAAAAGTATCCTATGAAACATTTCGTAGCTTCCTTGGAACGAACCTCCTCAAGGGAGAGTCGTCCCTCCAAACTTTATGGGTTGTTGGAGTGACGCGAAGCAACTAGCCGTCTTGTCCCAGCGGTTACCAAATCATACTGCTCCTTAACTCGCCTGCCAGCGTTCCCGGTGTCAACTGCAATTTACGCCAGTTTACCCAACACCCGCTGACAATCTCGTCCGCCAGTGTTCCTGGTGTCGACTGCAATTCCCGCAATCTTTCCGACACCCACTGACATAAACCCATCTGCACCCCGGGCCTCGACAAGCGCTTACTGGCTCACCAAATCACTGCAAGCCTAAATCCTAAATATGCAATAAGTCCTGGCTGTTTTCCCTCCTGACAGTCGTTATCTTGCCTTCCAGCAAACCTGCCGTGCCTCTCCTCTGCCTCCGAAGACGACTTTCTTTCATCTTAACCGCGCTTTTCGTGTTTCCCCCGGTTGCGTCACCTTCTGCCAACCACTACTCTGGGGTACCCGAGAAAGCCCGTCCGGAACCTCGTCCTTCGAGGCCTTTTAGTACTCGATTCGAGGAGACACCTGCTGAGCTTTGCTGTGAGACAAGTCATCAAAATTCCAACACGCTTTTTCTCAACGGGCATCATTAGCGTTACTGAACAACCCGCTTAACAGATCCATGGGTCTCCCTGGGGACGACTAGAAGCCGAGGCATACCGAACGGGCGCCACGTTGGGCGCCAATTTAATGTGGGTTTCTCTACGGAGAGGTCCTCTACTAATAATCCCGCCCGATCGGTATACGCTCCGCCCGTCACCCAGGGAGTGACACACTGGAACGAGAAGACAGCGAATGGGTTTACTGTACCTCCCGGTTGCCCGTCATCGAGAGCCGGTAGTCCGGGCCCGCCGACCCTTGTTGTCGCCCGTCGATCAGAGCTCACAGTCGCAGCGCGTGTCCAGGCCTGTGGATCGCTTTTCCCACGCCAGCGCTGCGTAGGCTGGCTGTCCCGGGCTATCAATGCCCGAGTGTCGCTGCGGAACCACCCCGGGATCGTCGTAGCCCAGGTCATATGTCCTGGGCTCGCCGTTTCCACCGGTCTTGCTCCAGACCTCGCTGGTCGACCGCTCCGGGGTTTGTCATGGGCCGCGTCAGGCAGCTTGGCTTCGACGTTCCTTGTCCAGCTACCAGCCTCCCTCCGTTCGCACTGTCCCGCGCCCGCTCGTGACTTCTCCGCCGACCGCCTGTCACGTGCCCTCTGCCTCGTCCTTTACTCTGGGCTGCCACACCTGTCTCAGGTCAAGGTATGCCCACTTTTCACGAGCTCGCCTGCGCGCTTATTTTTCTTTTTGAGGCCTACAGTGTAGTCATAACCTGGAACAGCAACTGCTTTCATGTTCTCTGGAATACCTCAGTAGCAAACTTCGCCACGTCTTTTTGTATATACCGTAGACGACATAATTTTCGCGAATCGACTATAATTCACAGAACAGTAGGTCCCGCGAACGATTCCGGTAAGATGTTAACATATTGGTATCTATATTGAGAACCCACTACGTCGCGAAAATTAGAACCTGCGAATTGTTCCAAAACTTAAGATTTAACCTAAATCGCGAAATATTGAGCCCGCGAAAAATAGGTCGCTTACAGTATATTATAGTCTAGCTGCAATTAATCTTGTCCCCAATATCGCAGGCCTTCGTGTATATTAATATATATGTTACGAAATACAACCTAGAGGTAGTGCTCTCAAAACTGGTTCAATCAAGAGATCAATGTTTGACATAACGTGGATTTAATAATCTCCAAGTGTTTGCGTTGTGCTATGTTAATGTGTTCATTTTTA